GTAGTCGTAGTAGTAGTAGTAGTAGTCGTCGTAAGTAGTAGTAAGTAGTTAGTAAGTCGTAGTAGTAGTAAGTAAGAGTAGTAGTGTAGTAGTAGTATAGTAGTAGTAGTAGTCGTAGTAGTAGTCGTAGTCAGTAGCAGCCGTAGTAGCAGTAGTAGTAGTAGTTAGTTGTGGTAGGTAGTAGTAGTAGTAGTTAGTCAGTATCGTAGTAGTCTTCGTAGTAGCAGTAGTAGTAGTAGTAGTCATAGTAGTCATACTAGTCGTAGTGGTAGTCGTAGTGGTAGTCGTATTAGTATTATTATTAGTATTAGTAGTAGAAGTAGTAGTAGTAGTAGTAGTAGTAGTCGTAGTAGTAGTAGTAGTAGTAGTAGTAGTAGTAGTAGTAGTAGTAGTAGTAGTAGTAGTAGTAGTTAGTAAGTATAGTAGTAGTTAGTAGTAGTAGTAGTAGTAGTAGTAGTAGTAGTAGTAGTAGTCGTAGTAGTCGTAGTCGTAGTCGTAGTCGCAGTAGTAGTAGTAGTAGTAGTAGTAGTAGTAGTAGTAGTAGTAGTAGTAGTAGTAGTAGTAGTAGTAGTAGTAGTATCAGTAGTAGTGGAAGTAGCAGTAGTAGTCGTAGTCGTAGTAGTAGTAGTAGTATTAGTAGTAGTAGTAGTAGTAGTAGTAGTAGTCGAAGTCGTAGTCGTAGTCGTAGTATTTGTTTTATCCGCACGACTCGTATTATTAGCCGTAGTCGTAGTAGTAGTTGTTGTTGTGTCGTGGTAGAAGTGTTCGTAGAACTATGAGTAGTATAGCCTTTGTAGCCGTAGGGCTCCACGAGGGCCCCAGGAGGCAACGATCGCCCCTGCCCCTTGGGCAAGAGCAGATGTTTAGCAAGTTTGCTTTATCGGCCCTAACAGCGCCCAGGAGGCCCAACATGTCGCCCCTAGACGGGGCGAGGGGCGACCAAGATGACCCAAAGAGGCCCCCCAAACGGCCCAAGTGGCGCCCAAGAGTGCCCGAGAACTCCCAACCACCATGACAATGACCAGCTTCGCCGTTACCATTGCAAGCTTTCCTCTCTTCAGCATCGCCTACCACATAATCATCGTGGCCACCCTCATCAGTTATCATAGTTGTCCTCCTCCTCCTCCCCCACCCCCTCCTCCCTATTGCCCGGTTATCCTTATCCTCCTCCTTATTGTCCCTTCAGTTTCCTCTAACCCCTCCTCCCCCTCAAGCCTCATCCTCATCTTCTCCTCCTCATGCTGCTGCTGCTACTCCTCATCCTCATCCTCATCGTTCTATTCCTCCTCCTCCTCCTCCTCCTCCCCCGCCTCCTCCGCCTTCCTCATCTTTCTTATCATCATCCTCTTGCACCTCCTCCCATCATGTTGCTCCTCCTCCTCGTCCTCCTCGATTTCAGCCGTCGCATCTATCGTTATCTTCCTCATCCCGTTCGTCTCCCTTCGTCCTCATCAACAGTCCTCCTCATTATCATCACCCTCGTCCGCATCAGTATTCATCGTCCTCTTCCCCTCATGGTCCTCCTGCTCTCCCTCCCCCTCCTGATCCTGATCATCGGAATCCCCACCATCACCGTCGTCATCACCGTCGTCGTAGTCGCCGGCATCATCATCATCATCATCAGCATCATCATCATCACTATCAGCATCGCCTCCATCATCATAATCACCATCGTCGTCGTTATCATCATCATCACCATCAGCCGCAGCATCAGTATCATCATCGCCATCATCGCCAGTGCCCGTCAGCTTTCGAAGAACAAATGGAACAACAGGATGAGTAGCGAACGCTAGCGCACAGTGGGACAAAGTCAACCGTGATCGCGAGGAAGTGTCGTATTCGGGTTTTGGAGTTTGGGGTTTGGTGTTTATGGTTTGGGGTTTGGTGTTTGGTGTTTGGGGTTTGGGGTTTGGTGTTTGGTATTATGTGTTTGGGGTTTGGCGTTTGGGGTTCGGGGTTTGGCGTTTGACGTTTGGGGTTTGGGGTTTGGTGTTTGGGGCTTGGGGTTTGGTGTTTGGTGTTTTGGGTTTGGTGTTGGGTGTTTGGTGTTTGGTGTTTGGGGTTTGTTGTTTGGGGTTTGGGGTTTGGTGTGTGTTACGTTGTGTTTGGTGTTTGGTGCTTGATGTTTGGTGCTTGGTGTTAGGTGTGTGTGTGTGTGTGTGTTTGTGTGTCTGCGTTGTGTTTGGAGTTTGGTGTTTAGTGTTTGGGATTTGGTGCTTGGAGTTTGGGGTTTGGTGTGTTGTGTTTGGTGCTTGGCGTTTGGGGTGTTTTTTTTGGGGGGGGAGATATCAAACCTGTAAGGGTCTCACGCGGAGATGCAACCGACCCAGCATGTTGCTATTTTTACTCGGAGAAGTGTTTGTTCCCTACCTAGGCTCTGCCTAGAAGGGTTCTTACTCTCTTAGCTTAAAGGGCCGGGCAATGGAAAGCGCCCCGGGCGGTTCCCCCGGTCCCCGCCCCGCGGTTCCCCCAGTCCCTTGGGAGCTGTAGCTTTAGCTTTAGCTTTAGCTTAGCTTTAGCTTAGCTTTAGCTTAGCTTTAGCTTTAACGTTAGCTTAGCGTTAGCTTAGCCTTAGCTTAGCTTTAACTTAGCTTTAGCTCAGCTTCAGCTCAGCTTCAGCTTAGCTTTAGCTTAACTTTAGCTTAGCTTTAGCTTAGCTTTAGCTTAGCTTTAGCTTTAGCTTTAGAGCTCAGCTTTAGCTCAGCTTTAGCTTAGCTTTAGCTTTAACTTTAGCTCAGCTTTAGCTTAGATTTAGCTCAGCTTTAGCTGAGCTTTAGCTTAGCTTCAGCTTAGCTTCAGCTTAGCTTTAGCTTAGCTTTAGCTTAGCTTTAGCTTAGCTTTAGCTTAGCGTTAGCTTAGCGTTAGCTTTAGTTTTAGCTTAGCTTCAGCTTAGCTTTAGCTTAGCTTTAGCTTTAGCTCAGCTTTACTGTTGCTACTAATGCTGCTTTCCTAGGGGCTCCAACTTATAGGTAGGGTCGCACTGGGATAATTTCCCAGAGAAGTAGATTGCCTTCCAGAGAACGATTCCCCCCCCATCCGCCATCTACCTCCTCCTCCCACGTGCACCTGTTCCTCCTCCATGCTCCTCCGTCCCCCCCCATCCACCATCTACCTCCTCCTCCCACGTGCACCTGATCCTCCTCCATGCTCCTCCGTCTCCTCCTCCTCCTCCTCCTCCTCCTCCTCCTCCTCCTCCTCCTCCTCCTTGTCATCTTCCTCAATCTCCTCCTCCTCCTCCTCCTCCTCCTTGTCCACCTCCTCTTCCCCATGTGAATGCATCATTGCCCCACGACCTCGAAGGCCCACTCGACCCCTGGCGCACCACAAGAAGGCCGTCCAGATCGACGGCGCACGTGCCCAGAGATTTCGCATCGCAGGACGTCGGACCGATCGCATGGATACTCAGTGCCAGGCCCAGGCCAGCTGCACCCTCCCGCCTCCTCCTCCACCTCCTCCACCTCCTCCTCGACCTTCTCTTCGTCGTCCTCCGCGTCTTCACCGTCCGCCCCCTCCTCCTCCTCCTCCTCTCTCCTCCTCCTCCTCCTTCCTCCTCCTCCTTCTCTTTCCCTTCCTTCTCCTCCTCCTCCTCCTCCTCTTTCCCTTCGTTATCCTCCTCCTTCTCCTCCTCTCCCTCTTCCTCTTCTCCTCCTATTCTTCCTCCTCCTCCTCCGCGCCCTGGTTTTCCTCCTTTTGTTGGCGTGCCCGTGCGAGTGGGCTTGCGCCTCTCCGCCTCTCCTGACCAGTCCCAGCTCCGGCTCCGTGGCGTCTTGGCCGAAGGAGGCCGCTCGGATAAGTCAGTTCCAGAGCGTTCCACAACGCTACCAGAGCGGAGGCGGCATGGACTTGACACGGATTCGACGCGGACAGGGGCGCGACGGGACAGACGAGGTTCCCCGGAGATGCACCAGACGGACGGGGCTAGGACGAGGCTAAATCCGTTCCAGAGCGTTCTGGAACGCTCCCAGAGCGTAACGAAACGTTTTGAGAAGGCCGTGGCGCCGGAGTCATCCTCCAGAGCCGCTGGATCTCAGAGATGTTCGATGCATCCTCAGAGAGGAGGATCGGCGCAGGACGTTCCCTGAGGCTTGAGATCTCGGGGCACGGCTTTCGTCGATCCGAGACTACGAAAAGACATCCCGCCCCAAGAAGATGATACAGTGGAGGCCCATGCCAAGAAGCACCCTGCTTGCCTCCAGGTGCTCTGGGTTTCTCGGGTTTCGATGGCTCTTGCGGTGGAAAGCGCGACGCTCCCCACCACCAACAATCACTGGAGGTCCTGGGGTCTCAGGGTTGGGTTTCTTGTGGAAGGTCTCCTGTGGACTGGCCTCCACTGCATCCTCGCCCTGGCTTCGTCTTGGGCCGCGCGAGGGTGGAGAGGCACGGGTCGGGCGCCGAGCTGGCCCTGAGCTCCGTCGCCGCGGGGAATCTCGGGCAGAGGAGCCGCGGCCGTAGACCACAGGGGCACGACTCGGCCACCGCCGCCCACCAGACCCCTGGAGGGGGAGGGGGAGGAGGAGGAGGAGGAGGAGGAGGAGGAGGAGGAGGAGGAGGAGGAGGAGGAGGAGGAGGATGAGCACAAGGAGTAGGAGGAGGAGGAGGAGCAGCAGGTGGTATGAAGGAGGAGTACAGGAGCAGGAGGAGGAGGAAGGGGGAACTGGGCGGAGCTCGGCCGGCGGAGCTGGGCGCCGAGGGCTCGCGGGGCCGAGCCCCTCTGGGGGGCCTCCCGGGAGGCCCTCGCGGCCACGGCGGGATCCGCTGCGGAGTGTGCTGGGCAGGGCGCGCCGTCGGGAGAGGTGCGGGGAGGAGCGGTTTGGGCACCGGTTGGTTCCACCCCGAGGCCCAGTCGCACACACGAGCGTCCTAGTCTCAATTCCCCGCGAGTGTGTGTGTGTGTGGTGTGTGTGTGGTGTGTGTGGTGTGTGTGTGTGTGTGGTGTGTGTGTGGTGTGTGTGAGAGGTGTGTGTGTGTGCGTGCGTACACGAGTGCAAGTGGAAGTGAGCCAGCCGCCACTCCCTCCTGTCGACCATGGTCAGGCCGCTCTTGACTTGCAGTGGTTGCTGCAGCTCCGAGATTGCATGATATCCCAGCAGCTTCGGGATGGCAGAATATCCCGCTGACGTGCGCGTGAGGCCCACACTTTTGCGGCCAAGCAGGCCGCCAGGTGGGCGTGCGCTTCGGGACTGGCATGTATACATGCCTCCGGCGTGCGGCTCACCGGAGGTGGGACTTCTTGATCCTACGCTGCAGTCCGCCGCTCCGCTTCCTCGTGCTGATCCAGCTCCTGATTCCGTTCGTCATCCTTCTTGCTCTCCTCCAGCAAGAAGGTCTGGTAGGCTTAGGGCACCAGTTCCGCTCGACTTGCAGCCTGCAGTGCCGTTTCGCGCAAGGAGCCGACATCACAGGTTTACTTACGGATGCCAGAATCGCGCCAGAAAGCATTCATGTGCCTCCATGCTCGTCGATCGATTAGACGTAAGAGTGACCTTTCGCCGGAGTGACCTTTCGCCGGAGTGACCTTTGGTGCGGGCACAGACGGGTCCCCAGATGGCCGAAAACGAAGCAGGAGCAGTGGCTTGCGCGCCCAGGCTTGGTCCCCCCGCGGCCCCCAAGAAGCCGCGCACCAAAGGCCACTCTTACCCAGGGTCACTCTTGCGTGCAGCCGAATCGAAAGGGGAAGCGAAGAGGCCAGCAATCGTCCTACATGTTCCCCTTCGAATCGCTGCCGATGCCCATTTGCCTCAGCCAGGCTCTACCCGGGGTTGCTACAGGTGCCCCTGGGTCGCAGGCCTAGAGGTTGACACCAACACCAGTTTCGGCGGTGTGCCTCCATCGGCGGATCCCGATCTCGGTGATGGTGGTAATATTCTGGCTTCCAAGGTGGCCGAACTATTGCCACCAACACCGACATCTAGGATCATCTTCCCCCTCTGTGGAGGCGACCCCCTGTGTTGGCGTTGGTGCCAATTTCCAGGCCTCCAGCTGGGCCGAGCTGTCCACAGGTGCTGTTTTATCTTCCAGCCCCTGAGGCCCTCTGTGCCGCGTGACGGGGTGCTCTGGAAGCCAGGTGCGGGCAATATTTATATCCATATCCAGTGCGTCTTGGACTTTCTTGGAAGGGGCGCCGCAAGGCCGAGGCGCACTGGATATGGATAAAAATTGAGCCTTTTGGAGGCAGATTATAATCCATATCCAGGGCGCCTCATGTTTCTTGGGAAGAGAGTCCGAACTCCAAGACGCTCTGGATGTGGATAAAGACATTGCCCGCACCAGGCGGGAACGGCCGAGGACAGCTGGCAGCAGCCGACGAGGCGAGCGAAGGGGGGGAGAGGGGGGAGGCGGGGGAGGGGGCGCAGAGAGCCCTCGAGGAGGAGGAGGAGGAAGAGGGAGGAGGAGGGGAGGAGGAGGAGGAGGAGGAGGAGCAGAGTTCTCAGGAGGAGGATGAGGAGTATGAGGAGTAGCAGGAAAGGATTCTGAGGATGAGGAGGGAGGAGAGGAGGAGTAGGGAGGCAAGGAGGGCGGGTGGAGGAAGGGGAGGAGGAGGTGGAGGAGAGGAGGAAGAGGAGGGAACAGCAGGAACGCAGACCCGGTCGGGACCCCGAGCGCCGAGGAGGCAACCATGTGCCCCTGGCTTGCCCGGCGGGCTCGCCCTCGCAGCCGCGAGCGTGCTTGGCGGCCCAGGCCCGCACGTCTCTTCTCCTCCAGCCCCCTCCCTCCTCCTCCCCTCCTCCTCCTCCCACCTCCGTCCTCCTCCTCCTCCTCTACCGTCCTCCTCCTCCTCCTCCTCCTCCTCCTCCTCCTCCTCCTCCTCCCCGTCCCCGTCCCCGTCCTCCTCCTCCTCCTCCTCCTCCTCCTCCTCCTCCTCCTCCTCCAGCCCCTCCCTCCTCCCCTCGCAGAGCAGCCCTGCAGGCAGGGACTTCTTAGACTTCCAAGGGCCCCGTGGCCTGTTGCTCCGCCGCCCCGTGAAAGGTCAAGGGGGGGCCCGCCCCTTCCCTCCCGGAGCTCCCCGTGGGCCCCAAGGATGCCTCTCGAGGTCTTGGGGCCCCTGCCTCTTTCGGGCCGGGCGAAAGGGGGGGACTGGGAAAGGGGGGGGTACGAAATCTGCTGCATGCAGCTGGTTTCGGCCCCATCGAGGGGCCCATTCCTCGATACATGGGCGCCTCCCGGCGCCGGGAGGCGCCGGGAAATCAGCTACGTGAGCTGATTCTCGAAACCCCCCCGACTCTTGAGGTCTTGAGGCCCCTGCTCTGGAGGCTTCTGGAGGCCCACGAAGAGCCGACAGTGGGCACAGACCTGGCTCCTCGAGCCTGCTCCCCTCTGGCCAGGCCCCTCCTGGCACGCCCCGTCTCTCCGTCCGGGCCCCCGTCCCCGAGCCCTGGCCCCCCGCCCTTGCCCGTCGGCGCGGCCACGTCGCCCGTCTCCCCCTCCGATGCCTCCCTGCCCCTCTTCGGCCTGCCCCCCCCCCCTCCCCC